TTGTGTCCTCTTTGATTTCTTTCATCAGTGTTTTATAGTTTTCTATGTATAGGTCTTTTGTTTCTTTAGGTAGATATACTCCTAAGTATTTTATTCTTTTTGTTGCAATGGTGAATGGTATTGTTTCCTTAATTTCTCTTTCTGTTTTCTCATTGTTAGTGTATAGGAATGCAAGAGATTTCTGTGTGTTAATTTTATATCCTGCAACTTTACTGTATTCATTGATTAGCTCTAGTAATTTTCTGGTAGAGTCTTTAGGGTTTTCTATGTAGAGGATCATGTCATCTGCAAACAGCGAAAGTTTCACTTCTTCTTTTCTTATCTGGATTCCTTTTACTTCTTTTTCTGCTCTGATTGCTGTGGCCAACCCTTCCAAAACTATGCTGAATAGTAGTGATGAGAGTGGGCACCCTTGTCTTGCTCCTGATTTCGGGGGAAATGCCTTCAATTTTTCACCATTGAGGGTAATGCTTGCTGTGAGTTTGTCATATATAGCTTTTATTATGTTGAGGTATGTTCCTTCTATTCCTACTTTTTGGAGAGTTTTAATTATAAATGGGTGTTGAATTTTGTCAAAGGCTTTCTCTGCATCTATTGAGATGCAGAGAATAATCTGCAGATATTGAGATAATCTATTGGTTAATCTATTGATATAATCTATTGAGATAATCATATGGTTTTTATGTTTCAATTTGTTAATGTGATGTATTACATTGATTGATTTGCGGATATTAAGGAACACGTAAGCATCTTTTAATTTCATGGCTGCAGTCACCATCTGCAGTGATTTGGGAGCCCTAGAAAATAAAGTCTGTCACCGTTCTCATTGTTTCCCCATCTATTTGCCATGAAGGGATGGGACCAGATGCCATGATCTTCATTTTTTGAATGTTGAGTTTTAAGTAAACTTTTTCACTCTCCTCTTTCACTTTCATCAAGAAGCGCTTTAGTTTCTTCACTTTTTGCTGGAAGTGTGGTATCATCTGCATATCTAAGGTTATTGATATCTCTCCCCGTAATCTTGATTCTAGCCTGTGCTTCATTTAGCTCAGCATTTCATATGATATACTCTGCACATAAGTTAAATAAGCAGAGTGACAATATACAGCCTTGATGTACTCCTTTCCCAAATTGGAATCAGTCCATTGTTTTTTTGCATTTCTTCTTCTTGGCGATGGGTTACTAGCAGGATCTATTGCAGAGCATTTTCTAGAATGATTTCCCAAGTTTCTTAAAATTTCTGTTCTGTACAATGTATATAATAAATGTTCACTTTCTGCTGCAGTCACTCCTCAAGAGTGTATTGAAACACACTACTTGGAAAGTATAAGAACAAGATCAAAGTCTTAATGATTAATACAAGAAATGTAAATAATTTATTTCAGATTTGTGTTTCATTAATTAACTTCAGACCAAAGTTAACTGCTTGACATATTCATTCAAATCACCAAATAACCCATTCAAATGAATATTTGACTATGGCTTGGTTTTTGACTATTAATTAATTATTGACTATCCTGCAGGAGTATTCATTAAGACAGTATTATCTGGTTAAGATAATAGGCTCTGAATATAGACCACCAAAGTCTCAGTGTCACCTCTTAGGACTTGTATGACTTTGAATGTGTGGCTTAATCTTTCCATGCCTCAGTTTTGTCAAAGGTAAAATCACAGTGCTAATACTATCTTAACGCATTGGTTGTTACTAGCCTTAACTAGATAATGCAATGATATCTATCAAATTTTAGCCTTTATTCTTAGGAAATTCAAGGCACAAAATATACCTGTTGTTACTTTCCTGTTTTCTTGGGAATCCACATTGCTTTTTTTCTTTTGATGAGTTGTTTATTAAGGATATCACTGGTAAAAAAAGAGAAAGTATTCAAAACCTTAATGCTAAAACCTGCAGTGAAATGGATATGCTATATTTTTCATATATAGCATATATATATGGAAATGATTTCAACAAGCTTGAAATGAACAGAAGATAAAAGCAATAGCAATGTAGTAACAGAGAGTCTATTTAGAAGACAATGTAAACAAACACATAACAAGTAAACCCACAGAAACATTAAGGTACTTGCTTCTACTATAAATAAGTCTTTACCTATTTACTTAAACTTTGTTTGCTTATCAGCTTGTAATGCAGGGGACCCCGGTTGGATTCCTGGGTTGTGAAGATCTGCTGGAGAAGTGATAGTCTACCTACTGCAGTATTCTTGATCTTCCCTGTGGCTTAGGTGGCAAAGAATCCAAGAGCCCCTGGAGAAGGGAAAGGCTATCCTTTCCAGTATTCTGACCTGGAGAATTCCATGGATTGTATAGTCCATGGGGTTGCAAAGAGTCAGATACGACTGAGTGACTTTTCACTTTCACATTCTTTATTTGCTTTAAGTAACCCGGTGTTACTTAAACTTAAATTGCTTACATTCTTGTCTGCATGCTCCATCTTCAGAATGAGTATAATTGTGCCTATCCTATGTGAGAGATTGCCCAAGACAATCTGAAATTTAGTAGGCCCTTAAGAAACGATAATGACTTCCTAAGCCATCCAGTGTTAAGACTTTGCCTTCCAGTGCACGGAGAGCAGGTGTGATCCCTGGTTGGAAAGCTGAGATCCCACATGAGTCTTGGCCAAAAACAAAAAACAAAAACAAACAAAAATCCAGAACACACGCACAACAGAAGCAATCTTGTAAAAAGTTCAATAAAGACTTTAAAACTGTAAGCTTTACAAAAGCTAAATACAAATCAAGCATTTCTGATGAATACTTAGTGGCTGAGTTGAAATATACTGTAGACATAAAACAAACACATTAGATTTCAAAGATCTAAAACAATCTGTAAAAAGAATGTAAAATAGCTCATCAATAATTTTTGTATTACTATGTGTTGAAATATTTTGGTGCATTACATAAAATATATTTTAAAATAAAAAACTGCAAATAATGGGAAATTTTCTTTTTTATTGTCACCCTTTTATCATAATTACAATAAAAAAAAAATTCTTGGAGCACATGTGAAATCCCTTGCGATGACTCTGAGAACAATTAGGAAGAGAAATACCAGAGGTCAAAGCTTAAAGAATGAATATGGGCTGAGCACTATTAGAGCACTGTTTTGTGACTCTCTTTATTTCATTGGTCTTCCACTAAGTTTGGGGTGGCCATATTGATGGTACAAGTAGAATAAGTAGAAAAATAAAAATAAATGATCTTGTATCACTTACCTGAAATTCTCAACCCAATCACAGTCAAGGCAAGAAGAATAATCCCAGCACAAACAAGTTTCAGAGCAAATCTATGCCAACCTGGATCCCGATAAACATCTGAGATGTTAAGAAAATATACCAGGTTAACTCAGTTGAGTTCATTTGCTACAAAATGCAAAGGTTGTCTGGATCACATAAGAAAGAGCTAGATTTAGGATGAGGGCTAGGGGCAGGAAAGAATATTTACCAATCATCTTTTTTTAAAAATATATATTCGAGTTTATTCTTCATTTAACTTTTAAACACGACTATAGTTGAATATTAAAACAAAAGCAAGTAGTGAGCATATTATGATTATAGTCCTTCACTCAATCACTACTGCAATAAAACTCCAGCAGTGAGTGTTATTCACAGGCCTACTAAGAGGTCTGACACTGAACACCACCCCGAGGATGATGTTCATCATCCTCATATGCTTCTCCATTGTAATGACGCCGTCTTTCCTGATTTGGATCAAAGTCCACTAATTCTACCTGGTCCACCTCATCAGTCTCTTCTACTTCCTTCCTCTCAGGCAGAAGTTTTTCCAGCAAAGAGAGTTTATCAGGAGAGAGAAAGCCATTCTCAGGATTAAATTCAATGATTAGGCGACCCTTTTCATATGGCCTACAATAAATTGGCATGCCTTCATTTATCACACACTTGATATCTCCATCCTTGACGATCTGACCTGGATGAGAAGTGATGACTATGGTTCGGTTGTCAAGAGTAGATATTGGCTTCTGGAAGCCACACAATGCCTCAACCAGCTGTATGTCCATACACATGAAAATATCTTCTCCTCGTTGAGTAAAAACAGCATGGTCCTTCTGATCTAAAACAATGATAATATCTCCTGGCTCCAGTCCTGGTTCTTGGTCTCCTTCACCATGGAATGTTATCTTCTGGCCATCTTTCATGCCTTTGTCAATATGAACTTCTAGAATTTTCTTTTATTGAACTATCTTCCTTCCATTGCAGCCTTTGCATCTATCTTTAGTACTGATCCGCTCCCCGTGGCCCTGGCACTCCATGCAGACAGACTGAATTTGCTGAACCATTCCAGGTCCTATCTGATGAATTCTTATTTGCATTCCAGTACCTCGGCAATTGGGACAGCATTCTACCGCTCCTTTCTTACCACCTCGGCCTTCACATTAGTCACAAATCACATTCTTTTGCAGAGCTAGTTTTCTTGTTGCACCATTATATAAATTTTCTAAAGTTACTGTAAGTTGATGCACAACGTTTTTACCTCTCCTCTCTCTCTGCATCCTGCCTCCTCCTCCGAAAAACTTATCAAAGATGTCCATGGGGGAGCCAAAACCACCACCTGCTCTCCTCTTAATTGCCTGTTCTCCTCCTTTGTCATATAATTCCCTTTTCTTTGCATCAGAAAGCACTTCATAAGCTTGAGAAATCTGTTTAAACTTCTCGCCTTCATTTGGATTCTTATCATGGTGGTACTTCAAGGCCAGTTTCCTGTAAGACTTTTTCAATTCTTCTTGGGTGGCGTTGGGTTTGACCCCCAAAACATCATAGTAAGTGGTTTCTTTCACCATTTTCTACAGCCGGTGAGCGGGCCGATGCCGGTGTGGGGGAGCGGGAAGGAGCGCGTTGCTGTGTGCAGCTCGGGCAGCCGCCGCTCCTCCACCTTTCACCGAACATTCTGGAAAGTTCCCTTTACCAATCATCTTAAAGTAGGATTCTGAAGACTTCCCTGGTGGTCCAGTGGTTAAGAATCTGCCTGCCAATGCAGGGCACGGAGGTTGGATCTCTGGTCCAGGAAGATTTCACATGCCACAGCACAACAAAGTCCATGCTCCACAACAAGAGAAGCCACCACAATGAGAAGCCCATGCATTGTAAGTGAAGTGTAGCCCCCCTCACCACAACCAGAGAAAGGTTGCATGCAGCAACAAAGCCCCAGTGCAGCTAAAATAAATAAACAAGAGACCAAGGGGGTGGAAATGATATATACATATAAAATTTTCTCTTTTGCACTTAGTATCATCTAATACATAATATACTTATTCATTTAAATGTATGTCTTTCTAGTAGTATGATATAAACACAAGGATAGGAAGTATTTTTTCACTATTTGTTCACTTACTGTCACCCCAGCACCAGAGCATGCCTGGCTCAGGTGCTTATTTTTGGATGAAAAGATAACTCTAGAGGCATTTTGCCAGCATTTATCTACTTTTATAAGAAATCATAAATAAGTCACAACTCACATCTCTGTCTGGTTTTCCTGAATGTCTTTAATATAATCACTACTCTAAAGTTCCCACAGCCTGAAGAGTTCAGCCAAAGAGCTCATGGGTGGTTTCACAATAACTGTAATACCAGGTCAATGAGAGGAGAAAGCATGTCACCTGTCATTTCAATAAACAAGAGATGTTGCGACCATAAAGCCATCAACCAGGGCAGCTGCCCTGATGGTGAAGCCTGAGGGGAATTCAGGATAGAGGAAAAACAGGATAAAAGCCTAGGTATTTAAAATATATGTGATTGATTGATTTCAATAAGCCCAGACTCTTGTGTCTTCCCACATGTAGAAAAGCACTAAAATCATTAACTTGAGACATCTGTTTTTATGATTAGCAGTTGTCTCTTGACACTCAACTACATGCTTTTTGTTGTTTTGTTTTAAGCAAAAACTCCTATAAATCCTGGTTCCTCTGTCACCTCTTGGCAAAGTTCCTTAGAGTTATCTAAGAGGCTACCTTCTAGGCTATGATCCTTAGTAAAGTCACCAAATACATAATTCTCAACTTTTAGGTTATGCATTTTTTCAGTCAAGTGTTTTGTAATCACACATTTTGTTCTGACTTTATTCTATTTTTTTTTCAAATTTACATTTAGAATGATATTTTGTGGAATAATGATTGCAATCAGAATAGACACATTTTCTGACCCCATTGATTTGGGATCATAGACAGTAGCTTTTGAGCAAAATCTTGCCATTTTTCTGTATACTCATTCTCTAAAATGACCTTTCAACACCATCCTCCTTTCTTCCACTTTTGCTTGATTTGAATAGGGAACAGAAAGTCTTGCTCTTTCTCATAAAAAAATACCCATAGCTTGACCAAACTCACACTGTAGTTATCAAAATCCCCCAAATTTCCATTACCCCTTATGAAACATCATTAAACTCTTTTGCAACCCTAAGACTTTTCAATCTCCAATTTAGAATGTTGGTAATTTAATAGTTTCAAATTATGCCAAATGATTCTAAAAAGACACAACCCACGTGCTAAGTACACATGAAATGAATATCAGGTGGGATAAAAATGGCAATATTAGTAAATTTGGTTTGGTATCAGAAGGCAGTACTATATTATGATAATTTTATGCATTTTTCTACTTAGTTTCTAATTTCTTTTCATCCATCCCCAGCTCATGGGATCCATCACCTCATGTTAGAATCCCTATCTCCTTCACTCAGAATACTAGATCCTCTGACACACAAAAAATCGCCAATTTCAACAAATGTCAAATAGTTTCATCAGTGATATTCTCTCATGTCCTGTGGCTTACCTCCTTCTAAGCTGGTATACATTTTTAATTTAAAAATCATAAGATTGTGATTATATTCAAGTTTTTTATCTTGAATATCTTTTTTCTCAGGACATTTTACCCCTTCCCTTTGTAGATGAAGGATGTCAATCATTAAACCTACACTCCAGTGCTTTGAAGGGAACATCATGGATGCAAATGCTTTGGAACTTACAGTAATTTATAAAGGAATTTGGAATAAAGTAGATTACTATGACAGCAAAGTAATAAAGTATCTCTAAACATACTCCTTTGTTAAAAAAAAAGAACAAACTAAAAAACAAAAAGGAGACTCTCTGGTGGTCGAATGGTTAAGCCTCCAAGCTTCCTCTGCAGGGAGCATCGATGTGAACCCTGGTCTGGGAACAAAGATCATGCATCATGCACGGTGAAGCAAAAGAACCAAAAAGACAAAGAAAGATACTTCTTTGTTCATATGTTCATACATGTAAAATATTTCTTACGGATCTTTTTGCCAAGGTTCAGTGATAAGAGCGATGTTCACTTTTCACAAAATTATCTTGATAAAAAACAAACCTACAAGTGTGGGTTTTTCCCCATATCTGTGATTACCTACAGACAGGCTGTGCTATATCTATTTAAAATTAGCATATGATTGCTGCTCATCTTCAAAGTCATGATTTAAAACCACAAATTTAAGAGAAAAATCTGACTATTGGAAAATATACCAATGCCAGAAGGAAAATTGAAGTCACTTACTCTGACAAAGAGAAGAAGGTGATGATCTTTCAAGGGCAGAATCCCTGGGTAAGTTTGAATTATCATACATCGACTGATTGTCCATTGCAGAGGGCAGAATGTGGCACTAATGTTGTATAAGAGAAAAAACTCTAAGTTCTATGAGGCAAGATCAGCTAAAGGAAGTGCCCATTCATGAAAAGCTTTGTTGTCTTCTTATGCTATCACCAACCCACACGTCTAGCGGTGGGTTTTCTATTAATTAGTGAGAAAACCCATTGACTGGGTGTCAAGCATACTTAGACACAAAATACTGGGTTGGCCAAAAAGTTCATTTGAGTTAAAATGCAAACTAACTTTTTGGCCAACCCAATATCTACTTTCTTTTATTAATTGGCCTGTTTGACAAAATTCTAGTAAGGTTTGCTTGTTGTCTTCATAGCCATCATTTTTGAATACCTTCTTCTGTGCTGGGGCCAGAGTGAGGGAAATGAAGCACTCTGATTTGGCTCCAAAAACGTTAGGAATTAAGATAAACAATATTTAATACAAGGTTGTAAAACATAAACATGAATGCAAAAACCAAACCAAAACAAAACAAAACCCTGCAGGACACCTTTCAAAACCTCTAAAATCTTCTTTAAATATTTGTCCTCCCCCCAAAAAATGTGAAATGTGGAAAATGGGGTTGTAAATGTGGAAAAGGCCACTGAGTATTACAACAGAGAAAGAAAAGAGCCAAACATCCAGACTATTCTTAGCTTAAAAGGATGCTGTGCACTGAAGTTTAATTTCAAGTTATGCAGCATGACTATGACCACAAGGAATCCACAATGGCCATGTTAAAAACAATTGATGAGGAAAGAGTATTCTCTTAACCAGCATCTTGCAAAATTATGTGAGCTTCCAAAGTATAAACTGGCCAGAAATATAAACCAAAGGAGAGTCTTCATTTGTCCATATATAGTGTGAAGCATATTGATGGATCTTTTTGTTCAACCATTTTCACAATTATATAATTTAAAAGACCCTTATTAAAAAAAAAGACCCTTATTATTCAATTACCATTATATACATATAAAATAAATTCCTCAAGAGAACTTACATTTGGAGACTTTTTTAGTTATGTTATTGAATTCATTGATCATCTAATCTCCTCTGTAACACTTTCTAAACACAGCTTATTAGAATTTAGAAATTTATTGTCACTATTATAGATAGAAATATAAGTACAGATGATGCACACACATATACAACAGAGAAACAAGACAAACATGACAAAACATAAGAAATAAAGGAATAAAAGAAAACTCCAGGAGCTGATTTTAAAAGAATCAGGTCTATGAGCTACCTGACAAAGAATTTAAAATAATTGATGAGGATATAGGGAGATAAGTTAAAGAAGAGAATATTATGAATAATTGAATAGCAACAAGTTGGATAACCTAGAAGAAATGGATTAGCTCTAGAAATGTACTAAGACTGAAACAGAAAGAAACAGAAAATCTGAAAAATTCAACTAAATTCTGTTTAAGATTTGAATAGTATTTTTAAATCTCATAGTAAAGAAAAGATCAGTTCACTGGAAAAGTCTACTTAACATTTAAATAGAAATTAACACTAATTCTCCTGAAATTTGAAGAAGATGGAACACGTCCAGCTCTATGTGAACAGCATTGCCCTGTTATCAAAGCCATATAAAGACACTAAAAGAAGACTATACTAATATTCCTGATGAACATTGATACAAAAATTGCAGCAACATACAAATGCACTGAGTTCAACAGCACAATAAAAAGATTATATATCATGACTAAGTGGATTTATTTCTGGAATAGTTGAATGGTTTAACATAGGAAAATCAACCAATGTAATACACTATATTAATACAATGAGGGACAAAAACCACACGATTTTTTTAATTGATGGAGAAAAAACCATTTGAAAAGTCCATACATGTTCATGACAAAAACACTCAACAAACTAGGAACAGAAGGAAATTACCTGAACATAATAAAGATCACTTATGAAAAGGCCATGGCTAACAGCACAATCTACTAACAGCACAAAAATACACAGAAGAACTGTACTAAAAAGGGCTTTATAACCCAGATAACTATGATGGTGTGATCACTCACCTAGAGCCAGACATCCTGGAGTGTGAAGTAAAGTGGGCCTTAGGAAGCATTCCTTCGAACAAAGCTAGTAGAGGTGATGGGATTCCAGCTGAGCTATTTCAAATCCTAAAAGATGATTCTGTGAAAGTGCTGCACTCAATATGCCAGCAAATTTGGAAAATTTGGCCATAGGACTGGAAAATATGTTTCCATTCCAATCCCAAAGAAAGGCAGTGCCAAAGAATGTTCAAACTACCACACAATTGCACTCATTTCACATGCTAGCAAGGTTATTCTCAAAATTCTCCAAGTTAGGCTTTGACAGCATGTGAACTGAGAATTTTCAGATATACAAGCTGGATTTAGAAAAGGCAGAGGAACCAAATTGCCAACATCCATTAGATCATAGAAAAAGCAAAAGAATTCCAGGAAAGCATCTACTTCTGCTTCATTGACTAAGCTAATGCCTTTGACTGTGTGGATCGGAACAAACTGTGGAAAATTCTTCAAGAGATGGGAATACCAGACCACTTTATCTGCCTCCTGTGAAGTCTGTATGCAGATCAAGAAGCAGAAGTTAAAACCAGACATGGAACAATGGACTGGTTCTAAATTGGGAAAGGAGTATGTCAAGGCTATATATTGTCACTCTGGTTATTTAATGTATATGCAAAGTGTGTCATGTGAAATGCCAAGCTGGATGAATCTTAAGCTGGAATCAAGATTGCCAGGAGAAATATCAATAACCTCAGATGTGCAGATGACACCACCCTAATGACAGAAAGTGAAGAACTAAAGAGCCTCTTGATGAAGGTGAAAGAGGAGAGTAAAAAAACTGGCTTAAAACTCGACATTCAAAAAACTAAGTTCATGGCATCTGGTCCCATCACTTCATGGCAAATGGATGGGAACAATGGAAACACTGACAGATTTTACTTTCTTGGGCTCCCAAATCACTGCAGATAGTGACTGCAGCCATGAAATTAAAAGATGCTTACTCCTTGGAAGAAAAGCTATGACCAGTGTAGACAGTGTATTAAAAAACAGAGACGTCACTTTGCCAACAGAGGTCCATATAGCCAAAGCTATGGTTTTTCCTGTGGTCATGTACATATGTGAGATTTGGACCTTAAAGAAGGATGAGCACTGAATTGATTCTTTTGAACTGTGGTGCTGGAGAAGGTTTTTGGGAGTCCCTTGATTTGCAAGGAGGTCAAACCAGTCAAACCTAAAAGAAATCAACCCTGAATTTTCAATGCAAGGACTGATGCTGAAGATCCAATGCTTTGGCCACCTGATGCAAAGAGCTGACTCATTGGAAAAGACCCTGATGCTGGGAAAGACTGAACAGAGGAGAAGGCGCCAACAGAGGACGAGGTGGTTTGGTGGCATCATTGACTCAATGAACATCAGTCTGAGCAAGCTCCAGTAGTTAGTGAAGGACAGGGAAGTTCCATGTGCTGTAGTCCATTGGATGGCAAAAAGTCAGACAAGACTAAGCAACTGAGCAACAAACAACAGCACAATCAACGGTATAAAACTGAAAGCTTTTCCTCTAGGGTCTATTAGAAAACAAGGATGCCTCTTCTCTTCAACCTAGTATTGGAAGTACTAGACAAGAAAAGCAAATAAAGGCTTCTAAGTTAAATAAAGAAGTAAATGTATCTCTGTTTGGAGAGAACATAATTTCAAATGCAGAAAAACATCAGGATTCCACACACAAAAAAATTATTGGACTAATAAATGAATTTGGCTAGGTTTCAGAATAAAAAGTTAATACACAGAAAGCAGTTGCATTTTTATACACTAATTAATTACCTGGAAAGGAAGTAAAATTTGTTCATTAGCAACAGCTTCAAAAAGAATAAAATATTTAGGAAAAACTTAATCAAGGATGTTACAGACTTGTACACTGAAAACTACAAAATATTGCTGAAAGAAATTAAGGAAGAAATAAATAAAGAGGCATCCCATGTTCATGGATTGAACAATTTAAGGTTAATATTCTTAGTTTGTGCATACTATATCTGCTATATGACCCCAGACATCCTACTCCTGCATCTGTATTCATAAAAGTGAAAACATTAATATGAAAAGACATATATTCCCAATTTTTTATAGCAGCATTAACTACAATTGCCAAGATATGGAAGCAACCTGTGTCTATCAAAGATGAATGGATTAAGAAGATGTGGTGTATGTATACAATGGAATACTTGTTGTTCAGTCACCCAGGCGTGTCCAACTCCTTTCAACCCCGTGGACTGCAACACACCTGGACTCCCTGTCCCTCACCATCTCCCGAGGTTCGCCCAAGTTCATGTTCATTGCATCGGTGATGCTGTTCAGACCTCTCATCCTCTGATGCCCTCTTCTCCTTCTGCCCTCAATCTTTCCCAGCATCAGGGACTTTTCCAAAGAGTCATCTGGTCGCATTAGATGACCAAAATACCGGAGCTTCAGCTTCAGCATCAGTCCTTCCAGTGAATATCCAGGGTTGATCTCCCTTAAGATTGACTGGTTTGATCTCTTTGTTGTCCAGGGGAATTTCAGGAGTCTTCTCCAGCACCACAGCTTGAAGGCATCGACGCTTTGGTGCTCTGCTTTCTTTACAGTCTAGCTTTCATAACTGTATGTGACCACTGGGAAGATCACAGGCTTGACTATAGGGAATTTGTTATCAGAGTAATGTCTCTGCTTTTCAACACACTGTTTAGATTTGTCACTGCTTTCCTGCCAAAAAGCAATTTTCTTCTGATTTCAAGGTGGCAGTCACCATCTGCAGTGATTTTGGAGCCCAAGAAGAGGAAATCTGTCACTCCTTCACCTTTTCCTCTCGCAGGGAAGCACACAATGGAATACTACTCAGACATAAAAAGACAAAATCTTACCATTTGCAACAACATGGATGGACCTGGAGGGTATTGTGCTAAGTGAAATAAGCCAGAGAGAGAAAGATAAATACTGCATGAGATCACTTATAAGTGTA